TGTTTTACTGTGCTGCTGCGCCTGCCATCCCAGCCGTTGCAAACTGGGCTTCCAAGTGATTCTAAGATCTCTTTTGGGTTAACGTGTTTTTCAGGCTCTCTAAGGGTGATAATTATCGGGCTGAGGGCTTGGGGTTTTGCAAGGGCTTCAAAGTTGTTTAACGTGAAACGGTCTCAAGAAATGGTGCGAGATACTTGAAGGGGTTTTTGGCGTGAAAAGGATCTTCAAAGTGTTCAGGAAAGGGATACAGCAAAGCTTTGAACAACCCCACAAGCAAAGAACCCCCAAGGCCTCAGAAAGGTTCTGGGTCCGGAGGCTCCGGCGGAAAGCAAACGGCCCGGCCTCTGGTTAGGTGGATGGTTTGGCTTCGTTTTGGTGGGGACCCGGGCTTATGGCTGCGATGTAAGCAGGCAATTGAAAGCCCGAGAAGTCAGAAGACGAGAACTCGACAATGGGTGGTCAAGCCCTGAACATCCCCGAGCCCCGAACCTATCCGATCGTGGGCTGCGCCCCAAACTGCCCGAATCGCTCCCAAGCAGTTCAGCTTTACTTCATTCCTTTCGGATGGGCCGGATGGGCCCAGACCGCACTCTGCGGCTTCCGCACGCTGTAGGCCCAGGAAACGCCGCCACCAGAGGAAAGCTGGCCAGAGCGGATCAGAGTTTGGAACAACTTGCACTTTTGCCTATGCTGCCCTGCCCTACACGACATTGGCATATTATTGGGTGATGGGGGCATTGTGGTCTTGAGGTTTCGAGTCAGCAGATGTGCAGAAGAAGCTTCGGGGGAAGTCCAGCTTGATCCTACGCGACTCTTGCGCAGACTGGGCTGGGTTGTTCCCTAAGCCGAGCCTTGTGTGCGAAAAACTCCAAAGCCGTCCCCGGCGAGAGAAGCTCCGCTATCACTCCTCGTCCGAGATGCCTGCCCCGAGCAGGTTCGAGATCAGTGTTCTGTCCACAAGGGGGGGCACTGAAGCACTTCTGAATCTTACCAGAGACGTGACCTGACGCAGCAAGACAGAAACATGATTCAGCAATATGTTGCAACTGCTTTTGTAGGGCGGGAGGGGGAGGCCTCTGCAAAGGCCAGCTTTATAAAGCTCCAGCGACTGCTTGGGGGTCCAGAGGGGTAGTTCTCCGCGGCTTTTGTAATCACCGGGGTGTCTAAACTGGGCGACTTTGCAAGGGGGGGGTTGTGGGGGAGAAATCAGACCAACAAGGCGGGTCGGTGTTACTGTGCCCCAGAAGTCCTCAAGCCCCAAATGCTGGAGACCTTCGTTGTCTGTAACCCACGCCGGACCCAAAGGGACGGATTGACGAATACTCCTATACTGCTGCTATCTCTCGGGCTCTACGTAAAGCTGCGTAAAGCTTTGACATGAAGTCTCCGCTAAGCACGGGACGTCCGTGCAAAGAAGTGGTCCTGGTCAGCCCCACCTTGGGGAGCCCGCTCTTTGAAGGCTTCCTCTAAACATGGTTTAGGATGATTTAAGATTTTAAGGGGCATCAGGCGCTCCACCTACCGGGTGATCGCCAGCAGACAGGTCCCTGTCCAGTGGGGGGGCGACCCTCTGTGAGGTCAAGTTTGCCGTGCTATTCAGGACGCTGTAACTGCTTGGGGGTGCATAGTGGGCTCCCGTGTACAGCCAAGTTGTTTCCGGGACCCGACAGTTTGGTTCAAGCATTTGGGCTTGGTTTTTAAACCCAGTTTGCACCTAAAATCCTCAAACCCAAACTCCCAAAGTCTAAGTGTTCCTCTTGTCACATCTAACCACTTTGACATATTGAGGCAAACTCATTTATCTGACTAATCCGGGGACCGCTTGAAGAGGGACAAGAGTGGTTCAAGGGTGGCAACGGGTGCTTGGTTCGAGAATTCCCGATGTTGGCGCATTGCCGTTTAGAGCCTGTTCTGGATCCATAGCTGGCCCTTCAATATGTACCCCATACCTTCTGACTCATCGATTGAAACATCGTGCAAGGGTACCTGTTGTATCCTGTTCTGTTGCACTGAATCAACGATACAGAATGATACAGATTTGCAGGCCAATCCTGCTCAATGTGGACTGCGCTGCCAGCTTAGCTTCCGACGTATGAGGCCTTGCAACGGTGCCATGGAAGACCCACGCAACATGGTGCGGAACGATCAGAATATCAAGAGTGTAATTTCAGGTGGCCGGGATGTCAGACTCTCGGAACTTAGGATGCGCAACGCTTTAGAACGAACTTTGCAGGGCTGCACATGGCACAGGAGTGTTTGGGTTTAGTGTTTTGAGCGGTGGCTTGGCCCTGCCACAGGACCTGCTGGGCCCTATTTACTTTGCCTGCCCTCTCAGATGATCGAAAGGGAAAGACTAAGCATGCCCTGACTTTGAGATTCGAAGGCAAGGACATAGGGGACAAAATGTTGGTAGAAGAAGGTTGGCTTAATGTATATGAAGGCCTGGCTCTTCGGGTAAAAACATGACATCCTGGCGAAACTGGTCATCTATCTGGTGTATAATTGTTTGCGGGGGGGGGGGGGGTTCCCACCTAACCAACCGCCTCAGCCGAGGTGCCATAAGCAAACGGTACCCGATTCAGCGTGGCATCGAAGCCCTGGAATGTTCCCGTAAGGCGGGTGCCATCCTTGCCGTCCACAGCAACCATTTTTACGGAAACATACGGAACTTGAGCGTTTTAGATGTGGTCATGATGTGTAGTTTAGCAGCTAGCGCCGCATTTTTGGCCGCATCATGATTTGTCGAGTTATCCCTCAGAACACACTAGGCATGGCGTGTCACGCCCCAAGAGGCAGCTGTCCGTGTTCGCACGTGTCACCATTGCATTTTCTTTGCTTTCAAATACTTCTACAAATAATGACAGACTTATTGAACTATCCGTCTGTATGAGGGCGGGCGACTGTCTCGTTTTTCATGTAGCATGTGTTCACAGTGACCACAAGCGCTACTGCAGCAACATGCTTTAGCTCATCTATGACAGGAACCGGCAGCTGTGCTTCGAACGTCCCAGATCTGACGGTCTCAGGCTCCCGAGCAGCCTACCGACCCTACCTCCACTCCCGCCGGAGGTGGCTCGCAGGGCGGCACCGGCAGCTCCGAAGACATGATCTTCTGGAACCTAAAGCCGCTGATTCTGTCTTGGTTGTGTAAAGCCGATGCAAGAGCAATGGACATCACGCCGACACCCTGAAGACAGCAACACGAGTGTCTGTAAAAATTGGAGCACTCTATGCTTCGGAAGAAGAAGGATCTGGGCAAAGGCTAAGGGCCTGGCGCGAGCTTGAGCGGTGCCCGGCATGAAGATGAAGCTCATCTCCGAAAGAGGCAAACCGACCCCTTCTTTGAACCCTTCACCTCTGAACCTCTCAACGTTTGCTGCAGATCAGTCAGAAAACTAGTCATCCGCCTGGGGCGAGATTATGAGGGGTGAGTTTTTGTTTATCCCTTCTTGTCCAGCTTACGAGGATAAATCAGCTTTGGGATGTAGGGAGTACTATCGTGCTGTCCTCTTCGAAGAAGTTTTACTTTGGGATTACTGGCTCAAAGGGCGCCTCAGCCTGTCCTCAGGTGACACGGTCACTTCTCGATGCTATCTTTCCTTTCTACCTTGCCGGGTCCCTGTTATGACGTATGACCCTTGCAATTCAGGGTGACCAATGCAAGGCCGCATCATATGGACAACTGACCGAGAGCGTGCCCACGTCTGTGTGGCCAGTGTGGCCGTTGAGCCAAAAGCGTAGCATGACAGAGGCATCCATTTCGATCAGGCCCACTGAGACTGCTGAGCTTCCGGAAGGCGCAAGTATGTAGCAAGGATGGGGGAGATTTCTCCGCGATCGTGTCATGAAGTGCGCTTCTGGGTGATCTTGGAGCTGTGCAAGACTTCGCTGAGACTTCTGCTCAGAAGTAGAGGTGCACCATATGCAGGGCTTAGCACCATCGTATCTCACTCGAGCTTCGCCGCGTGAGCCAAGCATGCCAAGCTTGGAGCGTATAATTGCAGAAGTCTCACTCACGACGTCATCGGAGCACGCTCTGGGCTGCACCACCGAGCATGCCCTGCACATCCATCTGGCATGTACCTTGCATTCTTTCAGTGGCTGCTTGAAGAGCTTTTGCTACGTTTTCATGCTGCTGCACTCGGATATGCTGGAACCAAGGTGGCTCTTCCTCCAAAGGTACTTAACCCTGAAATTTGATCTGAGTCTTGACCGTCCATGCTTCCTTTAGGGAACATTCTCCACTGCAGCTCGGGGGCGAGCAATCCCTGACGCACGATTTCACCCCCCCCCCCCGCCCCCAACCCCCCCTTTTCTTTCCAGGGCTAAATCAATCTAAATCATCATTGCTGAGTAGTATTCATGACTGGCCCTGCGCGTCTTAGCACGAAGATGCATGGAGAGAGCGGCCGAGGCGCCATCTTTGGAACAGAAGCCCGGCTTGCACTGGCAAGAGCCATACCTCACGAACGTCGCATTCTTCCGGGGAGCCTTCTCAATCGAGGGTCGCTGAATCTTGCGTTTCCAGACTTCGCATGATAATGGGTAACGATACTAAACGGGAGGGAACATGACTTGCCACACTGTCCCATTTCCGATCTGCGCTTGTTCTTTCCTGCCCTGGCATGCAGCGCATCCCGCCCAAAGGCTACAAGCAAATGCGCGCGAAGAAGTACACATCCAACTCCAATTACGGAAGCCAGCAATCACATGCTTCTCGTTCCTTCAGAATCTGCTGCCCCCAAAGCCCAATCCCAAACGTCCAGCAACAAGCCTTGAGCGCCTCAGGTGTTATTACAGTTCGAGTGTTGGGCAAGAGGCTGGCACGAGGCAGTAAATCCCAGCCTGAGCTTGTGTGGTCTTAATTTCACAGGTGTTGGGCACGGATCCAACAGGGAAGGAATGGACACTGCCAGGCCATATTGATCTGAAATTACAGTGATCTGTGCAAAGCGCGCAGCTTCCGAATGCCATGGCCCATGTTTGCCGAACCAAGTCACTGCGCCTGATTTGAGCACTGGCCCCAGCACAGGCCAACGTAGCCGGAGCAGCCTCTGGGTATTCTTTTAATTGGTCCGGGCCAAAGTCGCGCGAAAGAGAGAATGCAATTGCAATCCTTTTGGGAAGTAACCCTTGAAAAGGCCGCACTTGAGGCACTTCCTTTCGCACGATAACAGGACTAGGCACAGTTTCGCAGAATCTACACATGACCGGTACATACCTTTGCAAGGCCTTGGGTATAATTAGGAGGTTATGTGCACAGAGGTCCTCTGCCCGACTCAAGGTGTGACCATCCCCCGAACAAAGCGCGAGTTTCAAGAAACCGCCTCCGGAACCAAAGATGGAGCCGAAGACTCCACCTCGGGCTTTGGCTTCGCTTGCTTCGCTTGCTGACAGTAAGGAGGGCTTTCTGGCAGTGAAGCCCTCAGAAAGGCCCAAGCTCACTGTGTTCCATACGCCCTCCATGGCCTTGGCCGGCGGTTGGCCATAAAGCCCAGGACAAAGCTCGACATGCAATGTACTTACCATGTGGCACATGGATTTCCATTTGGCTACCGCCCCACTGAAGCATCCTGCACATAAAGCTCTTCCCAGTGGCACCAGCAGCGTCAGCGAGCCCGGGGACCTTTGCGGCCACAGCGGTCACCTTTCGAGGGAACATTATGATCGTCGAGCCAGGGCAGCCCGCTGGACTACGCGGAAGGTCCAGGCCTGGTCGACCACATTAGTAGCTCCACTCCCCACAGCGTCTCGGATTTCACCGACCGACCACTGGCACTTGCCTGACCGGCACGTGACCAAGAGGCCCATCGTAGCAGATCACACAATGCTTCATGCCAACAGGTCTTCCAGGTTACACCAAGAGGTGCGCATCTCAATTCTGCACTTAGGTCTGGTGAAACACTTGTTCAGTACAATATACAGAGAGGCGTTTTTGAGGGCCCCCGTTAGTGTCAAAGGGATTCAAAGGGTTTTCACGGGCCAACTGAGATGCCACTTGAGATCAGGGCTTAGGGGGTCCTTTGGTGTTTAGAGAAACGACTGGGCAAGAGACTAGTGACTAGTGCTTCGTTGTTACCCGACACGTGGGGCCTCTGATACAAGCCATGTTTTCTCGCATGTGGGTAAGGGCTCCCGGTCCTGGCCTTCAGAAAAGCACGTGAACTGTGGGCACACCTTGGAATCGGGAAGCTGGACAAGCTTCTGCACATTGCGGCAAGCCAACTCGAACCCGAGCATGTGGTATGCATGCAGCCCCAGTGGAAGTCTTGCAACAGTCCCTGAAAGCCACATGCGGGCAAGCTTTGATGCATTCATCGACACAACTGAAGGAGGCAGCTAAATGCGATGATTGATCCCAGGAGCACATTGCCCTGCTGTGAGGGACCCCATGGTCGAATCGCACTCCGCGCTGAGGGCATCATTGCAGATACCGGTGAGGCAGAAGGAGCCTGTCACCTTCCTGGGCGGTCACGGCTGGATTTTTTCCAGCCAATTGGGCCAGTGACGCTTTGTACCGCAGGTTCGATGACTCGACTTCGAAAAGATCTTCTACCGGCGAGGGCTCTTCATCGGAGATGCAAAACATGTCTGTGGCAGTCGTGGAAACCTGAGAACTGAATGATAAGATGTCGTTGTCCTGTAGGGATGAGATGGGGGAATACAGTACAAGCTTGACATTTGGGATTCTTTAGATGGGTGAGTCAATCTTTAAGATAATGTGAAGGATGGGCGCTTTAGGAGGCGCTCTTGGTGGCTTTCCGCGAGGAAGTGCTGAAATCTTGCTGCTGCATGTCTGCGGCAAAGCTGCGAGCACGCCTTCTCCTGGGAAAGCGAAATGCTATAGAGCAACCTTCTCTTCAGTACGCCTGTCTGATGCGCAAGGCCCGTCCAGAACACCAAGCTCCATCTGCACTACGAAGTGAAGCATGGCACAGTTGGCCTTGTTGTGTTGTGGGTGTTCAAGGTTAAGCTCAGTCCGTTTGCGGGCAGCAAGATCCATGTTAAGGCATAATTCTTGATCCCGAGGCACACTACGACAACAAATCGGCCCTGTAATTGTGCAGTCCTTGCTGGAGTTTGTTGCCAGCAGGTGGGCCGCTCGCTCTCCAGAGGCAGCGGCCGATCCCGTGCTGTGGTGGACCTGAGATAGTGCGCGCAAACTCACATCTTGTGCAGCTCATCCAAGTTTCCCCAGTTAACCTCCCCTCCTTCAACAAAGCAGAACGCACTTCAACATGTGCACCTACCCTGAACAAAGCCCAAGGGTCCAGGGCCGCATGCGCAGTCTGCCTGCCACAAGGCCCAAGGAGGAACAAAACGGTTCTGGGCAACTCCTTTACGCACACGACTGTTTGGACGCACTGCGCGCGCCATGTATGTAGCATTTCTTTGTTGCAGACTTCGAATGGCCATGTCATGCCTTGATTTCTGCTGTGCCCCTTTGTGCCTTGCGCTTGGCTTGCTGGTTTGCTGCAGCAGCATTTGGTAGTCATCGGCCTGCTCAGTGCTTGGCTTTCCAGCTCAAAATTGGAACGCGTCTGGAGCCCTCCTGGAGCCCACTAGGACGCCGAGCCATGCTGAGAAGCTTTGGAAGTACAAGCTGAGTCTAAACTTGGCCGGTGGGCCCCGGCCTTTGCATCCATCGCCGCGCAATGAGCACCACCTTAGCACTCTCCCTCCACTAGCAACTAGTGGATTGTCGGTCAATCCAGAAGTCTAGAAGGCTTGACCATGCTTGACCACTAGGAAATGTTGACTCGTCGGCATGCCTGCTCGCCTGTATGTGCTCTGGCTGAATGTGACTGACACTTTCTTCTCTATTTGGTCTCTGGTGACGGAACCATCAAGAGCTCATCACGCAAGCCCCTGGCTGCAGTCAGCGCTGGCCGGATGACAATAGGCAAACATCATCACCATGGTGGCCTGACGAGCTGTCTACGCTCTTCAGTGTGCTCCGTTGCCAAGGCATGCCTTCAGATGCGTGTCAAACACACAAACATCACAAACCATGGTTCCCCGTTCGCGGTTCGCTTCCCTGGATAAGGCACGGAAGGGGAGAGGAGGCAGGGAGGGGGGGCGCGCAAACACGACCACATGCTTGTACAAGTAGACAAATAGTTATTCATCCTAAGGCTGCGCAAGCCTTTCAGGTGTCACTCTAACATCTACAATTACAAGATAGCTTAAGAAATCGTTCGTTGAAGAAGCGAGCACCCTCAGCATGGGATAAAGCTAAATTGGGAACAAATGTACCCTGAGCCTGGGGAGCAGCACTTCTTAATTCTGGTTCTGTTTATTGCAAAAGCCCACATCAAATACGAAATCCCGGAGGCCACTCAATTGCCAGCCCCCTCGGTTTCTTATTTTGGGGGTTCCCCCTCCTCTAAAATGTTAGGTTTGAGCTGGAAAGCACACAATCCACGACTTCTCAAATTTGAGAAATCGGGGGCTGAATTTCTTATTTGAGGAGGGGGGGGGCACAACATAAGACATTGAGCGTTCGATTTCTAAAAATTTTTGGAAAACATCAGGACTGGACTTCTCAAACTTCAAAAACTGAGGGGCTGGATTTCGCAAAATATAGATATTGAGTGGCTGGATTGCTTGAACTACGAAAACGGAGGGGCCAAATTTCTTATGTACGAGGGGAAATTAAGAAATAGACTAAGCAACCAAGGGTAATCACAAGTGTTGAGGTGCCTGTCGAAAAATGAAAGCACGTTACGATCAAGAAATCGAGAGTACCCTCAACAACAGTTAGAGGTTTCTTCACCCAACACTGTCAGTGTACCCCCTAGACAACAGCTGCAAAGCCTCGAATGCGTCTTATACTCTGGCGGCCTTGGCGACGACGCTGTGCCGACCTGGAACACTCGAACTAGGGCTTTGCAACAGGGTGGCTGGTGTGATATGGTGTGGGATGGTGTGGGATAGGTGAGAGGTGTGTTGAGGGTCCCGGGTCTCCTGCCCGTTCAAGCGAGCTTGGGCCACCTAGACTTCTGCACCTAGCTGTGACTTGCGAAATTGATCTTGCCATGGCCACCTGGGCTGTATAGTATCGATTGAGCTCCTCTATTGACTCTACTGTGCTGAGGCCAAGGCTTCTCATGGTTCTCATCGCTGTCGCCAGGAAAGGAGGAAAAGGAGGGGACGAGCCCGGAGGAGCCGAGAAGCTCTTCAAAGCAGCTCATGGTCGATCCTTCACATTCTTTTGGGGGGCTTTTGCTCCAAAAAAACCAAGTCGACAAAGCTCGAGAGTCTAGTCTCTGCCTTCGGATTTGGCGCATTGAAAGGTTTGTGCTTTAACGGCTTTCAATGCATGTAGGCCTGTAAACTTGGCTGGGGGAGGTGCGTGCAAACTGAGCAGCTCAACCTAGGTGGCCTAGGACTTTTGTTGACAAACGACCATCAAAAAACATATCGGAAGATGATGCATCGGCTGCTCATCTTCCTGCAGCACCCAAACAGACCAACAGAGTTCACGCAGAACTGGGATGTCTCCACATTTGTCTAGTATCAGACGGGAGGGTGCATCTCATAGGCCGAGACTACTCTTGTACTTTGCAACTTGCAATTGTTGCAGGTTGCCTATGATCCAGAAAGTCGCACGTAATCAACATTCAGAATTTTCCCCAGTCAACATGCCCCTTCAATCCTAGACGGCATGATGGGTCCGGATAGGTCATCATACACAATCGATGGTGCTGCTTCGATTTGGTGCAGATGGAGCCAGGATGTCTCGCGTGAGTTCCGAAGAGGACGTCCCTCACCCTCAACGTCACTTGCACTTGAACGATGAGCATTGGCCTGCGACTGTAGCGTGTCGGTCGCTCACTGACATCTAACACCTCAAGTGTACAAGAATCTGAATCACTGAATCTACCATTTACATCCCTGCGCTGCCTCGCGACCGACATCCAGTCGAAAGAATTGCCGCGGCATGTCAAGATTCCCAGGTGCCATTGTCACGTCTGCGACTAGCACAGCTACTGCACTTCAGCAATGCCTAAGCTGGCAAACTATCACCACGGGAGTCCACATCATCGGGCCTGAGGGTTCAACGCCCGGAGTGAAGGCGGATCTCCAAATTTCAAGCCTGTCGGAGCCTTTCATCAGCTTCTCATGCCCTGGGGGAGTCCATGATCCGGCCATGACACCATCCAGCGTCGTTCCAATCCCTATGACTCCAAGCCCGCACCCTTAAACCCCATAAGCCCGAAAACCTCCAAATGCTTAAGCAAGCCCCGAAACAAATCTTGTGAAGTGGATTCCCTAACATACGTTGGTCCCGAAAATCACTGGCCTCCAACTAGGATGTTTTTGCCGCCCGAGGGTTTGGGGTTTGAGGCCTGTAGAGTGTTTGGAGTCTTTGGCTTAAGGGTTCAGGGTTTAGGGTTACCTTCAAGCAATTAAGGGAACAGGGGTTCAGGGCCAGGCTTCAGAGAAGCATTGCGCGAAGTCGGGGGCAACTTACTCTTCGGAGCCGGTCTTACAACCGAACAAACCCTAAACCCTAAACCCTAAACCCGAAACCCTAAACCCTAAACCCGAAACGGGGTTCCAACGTCATGGTCTTGGAGAGCCCTACCCTGCTTGGAGTCTATGCTGGAAACAATTTGCTTGGCGGTGTTGTCTTCGGCTTAGAGCTACGTTGTGGGACTCCACAGTATTCCATAGCGCTTCAGATCGCGGCGGCTTAAGGTTGGGGGCGTGGAAGGGTTTTTTCATACCCCTCTGATGCTACTGAATGTGAAGACGCTATAGCGGCCGCATCATGGTTGGTTCGATGCGGCACCGGCTCTACAAGCCTCGCTGGCGCGCCTCAAAAGCTGCGTCAAAGAGCGCCGCAAAAACTGCTACCAGCTCTTCGAGCAGAAGCTCAGCAGAAAGCCTCTTCACACACAGCTATGCGATAAGCCCACCGCACCTCTGCAAAATTGCTTGCTGAGCGGAAAAAAGGAGGTGTCCAAACTCGCCTTGCATGACAACACATTAAGTTGGGAACATCTTGCGTTGAGGCCTCTGCTCGTCTATTCTCTTGTCAAGATCAGAAGAGCGGTGTGTGAGGAGAGAAGGGTCGAGACGTCGACTTGAGACCCATGAGGCGCTTGCGGGAAGACCGGTCTGAAGCCGTGTTGGCCCCATAAGTCTCTTCCGCGGACATTGGGTGTACGGCCTCTCGACACGTCGGCCGCAGCTTACAGCATCTCTCAACAGCAAAACTGCAATACAGTTTAAACTTGAACGCTGTTCAGTGCGCCCAGTGGATGTCAAATAGGTTCCCTGAGAGTCCTAAGCTCTTCTGGATCAGTAGAACCGATATGACCACCCCGAATTCTAAAAGGTGTTGCTCGGCGCTAAATATGGGATTTCAACTTATAGTGCATTTTAACGGGATGTGCCCCTGGGGGGATTGGGCGTGCAAGGAGGTCCACGTCCATAGTTAAAAGCAAGGACTCGGAATCCAATGCTGAAAGCAGAAGCGCTTGCCGGCACCTTGTGGCACACGCTGCTGCGCAGCATGTGTATAATACGATAAAGCGCAGGTTGCAATTGCTTGAGAAAATGGCGTGTTAGTTTGTTAAGTCAACCATTCTTCTTGATTCTTTGCATGATGTCCCGCGGTCTCCTGACTTATCCCTGGAAGCCCACAGAGAGTTGCGCTGAGTATACCAAGAAAATCCCGCGAGAGTTCGCCGATATCCCGCCAACTACCCACCCCTATAAGAAGTCTGCATGGAGTCCCGCCGAGTGCCCGCCTCCAGAGAATCCACCGGAAGGTCCCGCAGAGTGCCCCCAGATCATTCTGCGGAGAGTCCCATGCACGACAGCGCGCTGTGGCGAAGTATCCGGAAGCACCTGCCCGAAAACGGCAGGATGGATGATCGAAGGCAGTGATTTTGCCTTCGACCGGCATCGGGGAGTGTGTAAGCCTTTAAGACAACTGGAATCCCTCTGATTGCTACCTGCTGAATCACATTTGGGCCAAGAGCCTGCTTTGCGTGGCCGACAAGCTACAGACGGGGTGTAAACCAGCTCTGATTCAAATCGAACGCTTCTCTGAAGATCGCATGCTTTAAGAGCCTGAACCATGGAACTCAAGACTTTCACTCTGCTGGAGAACAAAGGATAAGGCATACGTTAGATGCTGATCATGCCCATACAGGGAGTCTTGCTAGATTTTGCGTACGCCACAGATGCCCAGATGTGCAGGCTCTTGCTAGCCCGCCGTGCGCCAGCATCGGGTGTGTCCCGCCTACACGCTCTGAAATCACCTGGCTGGATGCAAGGATCGTCCGTTTTTATGCCGCGGCTTGGATGTTCTAACTGAACATGGAAGGAAAAAGTGACTTGAAGCATGCGTCCTTGAGGCCCCCCGACATGTCCCTTCGAAGGCTTGCTTTTGGAGCACAGTGCGCGTGCTCTTGGGTCTTTGTACTGCTTTCGAAGGACACTGCAACGTCATACCTTGTGCTTTCTTGCGCTGAGCATGAGGGATATCGGATAGCACAGCTTCACTGACTGAAACACATCCTGGTGTGTCTGAATTGGGTCATCAACTCAACTCTTGGTGCCGACCGGGAAATGATTATCTTCTTGGGAAACACGTCAACCGCAGTGTAGCACCCGTCCTAGTGGGGGGTGACCAGCTCGTCACATAAGTCCCCAGTGTGACATGCGCGCCACGTTAACAGCAATATTTGAGCAACGGAAGCCAGGTGCATCCAGGGGCGTTGTCAGCTCAAGCAGCAGTTCTACTTCGATTCCGGCAGGGTTGCCTGATGTTGCCTGCTTGAAGCACATCCGACATGTCATGGCCATTTGGCTTTGAGTTCTACAGTGGTCAAGTGTTCAGATCAAGTAGTGTGCATATGTGTGAGTGTGTGAGTGTGTGTGTGTGTGTGTGTGCGTGCGTGTGTTTGTGTGTGTGTGTGTGTGTCTGTGTGTGCGTGTGTTTGTGTGCGTGTGCTTGTGTGTGTGTGTGCGTGCGTGTGTTTGTGTGTGTGTGTTTGTGTGTGTGTGTGTGTGTGCGTGTGTTTGTGTGCGTGTGCGTGTGTGTGTGTGTGTGCGTGGGTGTGTGTGTGTGTGTGTGTGTGTGTGTGTGTGTGTGTGTGTGTGTGTGTTTTTGTGCTTCCGTGGCTTGCATGAACGAGGATATGCAACTGATATGCGTGTGAGTGCGCTTGCTGTGTAGCGGCTGCATTGACTGCTTGAAAAACGATGGGAACAACGGCAAGTACTGTAGTGGACATATAGAGGCTTTAACCAGGACGCCTCTCACAAGTAGGTCAGAGTCTCCGAGGCCAACCGAGGAGCACTACTGGGCTTTGGCGGAGTCATGGCATCCACGTAAGCAGAGCCACGCTTGCGCTCTGGGGTAGAAGGTGCCGAAGACGAGGCTGCGGGCTGGATCGGCTTGCTCTCTTTGTAGGGACATTTTTTGCGGCCGGCTTTGCACCACATGTAGGCATGCCCTTCATGAAAACGGCACGCCATCCAACCAATACCAAATCCACAGCGAGGGCAGACATCGTAAGGGAGCTGTTCCTTGCGGACCTGGACCTGCTGCACAATGGTGTTTGCCTGGTCAGAAACCGACTTGATTCCCTCAGGTAAGCGACCAGTCTCGGCTTGGAACATGTCCAGTGCTTGTTGCTTCGCTCCTTGTGCCACGGATTCGCTGTCGTCGAAAGCGGCCAGCGGAGCCATCTTGAGCTGGTGCTTCCTGTCAGCGGAGCTCCCGGTGGGCAAGCTTTTCGTGTTCCTGGTGCCTCTTCCAGGCTGTGATGCCCTGCATTTCATTGGATCCATCATGCGCGATCGCCCTGAAGATGAAGGCACGAGCTACTGGGGCGAATCGGCCGGAAGCCGTGCTCAGAACACCGCACGCGTGACTGCCACTTCCACTTACGCATCCAAGACACTCTCCACACTTGAGGATGAGGGGCGCGCAGGTACGGCACTGACAGTTAAGCCACTTGAGGCGGCCAGCAGCTTTGGAAATTTCGTCTTCGCCACGCCGAAGTGACTCTTCGATCTTCTCCAGCACCAAATCTTTCGCAGCCACCAGCTTCGCGAGCGATGCCACATTCCCTCCTGGCTTGTCAGGATGCACTCCCAGACTCAGGTGCCTGAACGCCTGATCTACCGCAGTGGGGTCTGCCGGGAGCTCGGGAAATCCCAAGACTTCAAGAGCCTCCCGCAGCCCAGCCAAACCGGACGCTTCGTCGGCATAATTGAGTCAGGAGCTACTGCCACCAGAGCTCGAAGAAAGGCTGCCCTAAGCAAACGAATAAAGAATCACAAATACTTCAACATGACATGTAATGTTGACTTTGCCACATACCAGCACACTAAAAACTCATTCCCATGAAGAAATTAAATAGGAGCACGTGATTTCAGCATGTCGAAAGTAGAAGCTGCAGAGCCGCCCATCACTCAGCGAGGTCGCCTTCTAAGCATGGCCTGGCCGCAATTTCGTGCAACTGTACCAAGTCAATGCTTGCAGGGTATTGTTTTGGAGGCATCGAGAGACATGCATGAAAAAGGTACCGGGCCGGGTCGTTCATGGTTGAGGGCTCATGCTACAACAGCTCCACTCTTTATTCGAACGGACGAACCCTATGAAGACAAGCACTATCGAAGACGTCGTACCCGGAAGCAAGAAGGGAGACCTGATTTCCAGTTCTGATTCCAGTTCGGGAGAGCCTTGATGGACCCTGACAGTCCTTGACATCTTGGCGCACCAAAGAGCCGGCACCCCATGGCAGCCCAAATGCCGAGCCACGACTGCAAGTTTGCAACTTCTCGTTGAGGGTGATTTGGGCAGGGCGCTTCGGCTTGGGTTGCTAAGTGGTGTTCAGGGACGTTCAGGGACGTTCGGGGACGTTCAGGGTTCGGTTCACTGGTGAGGCCCTGGCCCGTGGTCACTGGGAGAGAGCTTGCGGGCTCGGCGAAGCCTCGTTTCCCGTGCAGAATCACGGCAACCATCTGTGATTCAGAACCCTATGCACGGGCTGATCCGGACGCTAGAAGCCTTCACAACGCAGTGTGCTCACGACATACAGTGCCAGCAGCTCGCACAATCGAAATTAAGATTTGACTACTATCACCAACCCTTGCAAATCTTCTGGTTTGATTAATGCAGACGGACAGGTGCTTGAATACGCACCCCTGAGCCCGCCTGAAAAACCCGAATGGCAAACCCGCAGCCTACGAAACAGGACCGAGATGGCCGGCCTGCGCACACATGAGCTCCTGAACCTTCAACAAGCTCTAAATCTGCGCTTTGGATCTTTTGAACCCTGGATGGGTTCCCTCGGCCTCCGAGGCTACGGTAAGGAAATGTAAAGAAATCTAAATAAGTGTAAGGCAGCTGCGGACCGGAGGTTGCGCTTCGATTTGGATGAGGACTGCCTGCCGAGCTCACACAAAGTACAATGTCTCAGTCAGCCCCTCTCTGTGCACTCGGCATTCCAAATCGAGCAGAAGGGAACCCCAGGCCTTTTTGCCTTCTTTCGCGGGCCGCGCAATTTGCCGTCCGGACCTGCTTTTTTGCTTCAGGGCTCTCTGGACACGGATGTACGTTCAAGACGTTCCTTACAAACGACGCGAAGGGATGTCACCAAACAATCAGAGGTGTGGAGAGCTCTCCAAACACAGATTTTGCAAAGTTTTGTCGGGACAAAGTTCTTCCCACCCCTCAAGCCTGGGCAAACCAAGGTAAGCAAAAGCACATTGCTGTTTCGACCAGAGCACGTACATCACATCAAGCCTGTGTAAGCCTACTGTGTGGTTGGAGGAGCCCGGGAAGTCAGCACGGGCGCACCGCTGGACAAACACCGTTGAGATGGGTTGCACCTTGGGTGAGGCAAAGGAATCAGGCGCTTCGATACGTGGTGTATACTCCAAAGACAACGCAGTAGAATGTACAATTCGGAGCATGGATGACAATCATTAGGTCATTAGGTGCAAGCCACTGTTTGTTAACTTGGTTTCTGATGCCGTCCAGAAGCTCTGCAAACGACCGCGTCCTCACATCTTCATGCCAGGGCTCGGACAAGAGTGGCAAGGCATTCCTGGCTGGACTGTTCCGGAACTCCGGTGATGGTCTCTAGGACAACATCGTTGTTGGGGGTCTGGGGTTTGCTCCAAAATAGGTAAACCTTCGATGCCTGCAGCACCCGCAGCCTCGCCAAGCTTGCCTAAGAATCACATAGAGTGGAGGTAACGAGACTTACTGTCAAATCTGGGCCAAAATGTCCCAAACATCGTTCGGCGCTCGGTGTCCTTTCTGCAAACCTCTACGACTCTACATGCCCAAACCACACCGAAACTTAAGACTTGATCAAGACTACCCTAAACCTAACTTTGAACCCTACCTGAACCCCAACAGAAAGCCCACCCAACCTAGCTGAACAAGCCTAATCGTTCCGCAAAAGTTTGAACCATCTGCCTTGCCTAGTTTACGTGCTAAATCTTATCAGGCCTATACTACTCTTGTGCCGTCATCTGTAACCATCCAAACCGCTGTGCCTTGCCTCGTCTTGAGGGCCTTGCTCTCGAAAGGCGGGTCGACGGTGGAACTGCCGGCCCAAGCCACAACATGCCATGACAGTATTTGCCACATTGCCACATGTACCGTGCCATCCTATGGAGGCCGAACTCCAAGGCCCAATAAGGATTCCGCTCCAAGTTTTGCCTGAGCCAAAGAATCCCTCCTGGCCCTGAACCCGACATGCCAAGTCAGCAGCTCGCGCGTGCGATTCAGGAGTATGCCATACGTTAGCCTGGAGGGCTTGTAGCTCGGCAGACAAACTTCAGCCCAGAATCAATCTTTGACATCCTTCACAAACGAGCCCTTCGGAAGTCTTCAGTCCAGGCCTTTTCCTGCTCATCGTCCGCCTCAGTGGACTCTCGTATCCCCCTGCACTGCAGACAGCTACTCTCCTTCTGGATCTGCGTGATTTCCCTGAGAAGTTTGGCGAGTTCTTTACGGCACATCCCTCCATTCGACATTGAGGTTCCAAGCCTCGATAGTGACTTGCTGTCAACGGCGGCTTGGATGTAAGTTGCGGACATGGCCAATACGAGGCATTCCTGGAGATGAGCCAAAGCTTTAATGCCCAGCAAGCTGCAATGGTTAGAAAGGCTCAGAGCTGATTGCAAGTCACAGTTTTCTGATGCATTGCCTGTGTCTTGACATGTCCTGACTACCCTGTAGCTGCCTCTCCCACTGTTACTTCATGGCAGTTCGCATTTGAAAGAGGTGCCAAGGAGTACCGATATTGTGAGACTCTGCATGAGGTTGGACCGGTTGGAGGTTCCCCTGCCAACACAGAACCCTTGGTTTCCGCACCCTGTCCTCGCAATAATCCTCGTACTTCTCGTACCATTCGTTCTGCAGGCCATGCCAGGTTCAAGCTGAAGAATAGCACGTGTCGAGTGCATTATGCATTGTATAGAACTTATTTTCTGATACGACTTTTGCAACATACTATGTTCAACTTTGTAAGAAGTTGTAGATTATGTCCGCACACATCGCGGCCAGGATCCAGCGAGCAATCTGCGACGGCCTTGCAGCCGCAAGTGCTGCAAGTCACCGAGTCATTGGTCTGAGCGGGGCATTGGGGGGATCTTTGGGATCTTTCGTGTGGCTTCGTTTTCAGTGTGGTTTGGGCTTTTGAGGATGCAGTGTCATCTGGGTGAGGCAATCTAGAGTCGAGAGTGGATCTTGAAATATGGGACGTTCGTCGATCTGCAAGTGCCAAACACCCCCCATGATGTCCACGCAGCTTCTTTATGTTTAGTTACTTCTCTTGAAGAGGAATTCCAAGCCTCAGTCCCGGCTTGAAGTATGCGACATCATCCCACAGCACTGAGTGATCCCTGTTGCTGAAACCGATCGAAGCGAACGGCCGTCCAATCTGAGGGCGCGGGCCCACCAATCACCCGCTTTTCGACTCCTTTGCTGCGGGCGTGTGACATGATCTCACGTTTAGCTCTCGGCTTCAACAGGTCGGCCGTGATGCGCCGAAATAATCCAGATCCATAAATGTTCGCAGCATGTTGATGGGACTTGGATATTGGGATCCCCACTTTCTCAACAAGAAGGATGTTCACAACACTGGTTCGGGAAGCCAGCCAAGATTCAAGTAGTCGAGGTGGTACGCCAAATTTTCGGCCTGCTCAGGAATGTGCCGATTGCTTGTCGGGCTTTTTGAGGGCAAACCTAGGGCAGCGTCACATCACGATGCTGCTGTACAAACTTGTGGCAGCCACATTGACAGCGGCGGGATCGTTCGCGTGCAGGATGCCTGCTCTGGCTTGAAGACGTCGCTTCTCCGCATCTCCTGCAGCCAGCACAAGTCACGTTTGAACACGTCAAGGATGTCCTTGCTCATGATTTTTCAGGTAGGGTCTCAGTCTCAGATCTGAGCATCTTTTTGATCGTGTCATACACTGTTCTGAGCAGTGATCGCGCGGCATGGATGGACTTGTCCTGCAAAGACATCTCTGAGGGGTCCACTGGTGGAACGGTTGACACTTTCATGATACTTGGTCAGATTTGCCGAGCTGGGAGCTGCGGAGTCTACAGCGTCCTCTTGGGCCTAATTAGGGGTGCCAGAAAGCATCGATCTCTCACTCACCGCCTCCTTTACCACTTCTCCTCAACAAAACCGCCTGCTTGCTTCACCGGTTCAACTTGCGATGCATGTGTACAACCTGTAGCAGCTGCCTCATGCTTTGACCACTCCAGAAAATGCTTTGCGCATGATGACCAACAATATTTCCGCCAACGCCAAAGAATCATGACTGAGAGTGTGGGAGAGAGTTCTGGAAGTCAGAGGCAGTCACTTGGCCCCTTGACAAGTTGCATGAAACTTGGAGAGACGCACACTGACCTTGCTACGCTGCTTCTCGGCTTGCTTCCTCCAATCTCATGGCGGAACCTGCGCTTGCATGGATGCCTCCGCCTCGATCCCTTGTCACTACAATCGGTAAGATCAATCAGAAATGAAAAGGAGTGCAGATTTTACTATCCGGCTGTTGTAGTGGGCGATGCAGCTTCAAGCTCATCCTCCTCTCTCTCATTATTGTCTGCTTATCTCACAACTCTCCCTAACCTTCCGAACTGGAACAGAAAACTCAAGAAGCCACGCAGCAAGATTCGCAGCCCTGACATCAACACCGAAATTTGACACAAACCCTGCCAGTCCTCCGCTGCACCACGCCTCTCCGCGAAACGGTCGGACTAGCAGGCCAAGGTACAGGTAAAGGTAATTCTTCAGATCTTTCTGGGTGTCTCCTCGCCATCCGTCCTGCCCATCTTTGTTTGCGAAGATTTACAGGTAAATCTTCACGATCTTTCCGGAGTATTCCTCGCCACCTGTCTTGCCCGTCTTTGCTTGAAAATAACCCCGCGGCTGTGGGCT